AAAATTAAGTATTTCTTCCATCTATGTTTGATTTAATGTGCTCCTATATAAGATAAACATGATAACTAAAAATAGGAAGAAATCTTTTTGATTTTGTTTCTAATTATATTCTCCACAAAATATAATTAATTAATTATAATTTATTAATTAGTATTCATTAATTGATACGTTTAGCGGTTCGATAAATTAAAATCGTTAAAACTTAACAGTTCGATTAATTAATAAATAAAATATAACGGTTACAATGATTAACTTTTACGGTTAACGCTAACAGATTAATTTGAACACCCCTAACAAATGGGCAAAAGGGTGAGCACGTATTCATCCTAAAATCCAAATTTTTTTATGATAATTATCAACTTTACTGATGGTGTCCAGCCTTAAATTTTAGGAAAAATTATAGGTTTAGTACTTAAAATATCAATTTTGGTTCATTTTAGTACCTAAACTTTCAAATTTTTCAAAATCATACATAAAATTTAGTTTTTGTTTCATTTTAGTACTCACTTTAGTTTTTGTTTCATTTTACCCTTTCAAAATTTAACGTTAAGTTTTGAAAAAAAATTAAAAGTTTAAGTACTAAAACAGACCAAAACTGATAGTTTAAATACTAAACGCATTAAATTTTTAACAGCAGGGTACTAAAATGAAATTAAAATTAAACGCTAGGTGTAAAACTGAAAAGATTAAAAATTTTAAATACTTAAACAGACCGAAACTAATAGTTTATGTACTAAATACATAATTTATCTTAAATTTTATTTGTGCCCTCCTGTAAGAAAAAGTTTTATTATATATATATATAATTGAACACGAAATGAGAATATTGAAAATTTAAGGTGCGAGAATACCTCAAGACCGTCGCTAGTTTTCCCCCAGTAAACACTGCCGAAGCCCCCTTCTCCGAGCTTGTTATCGTCGCTAAAACCATTGGTAGCATTATGCAGCTCTTTATACGTAAACATTCTCCATGTTGTATTCCCTGGAGCACCCACAACACTTTCCATACAAAAAAACCATGCATTTTTTATCAGTACGATGAAATCGGGATTTAAATAGCGGTCGGTTATATAACGATAACAGTGACATCCGATATCATTATTATATAATCGTCATATCCGAAATCACCGTAATATAGTCCGGCCGCACACTATGTTCGTAATTGTAACAGAAGTAACGCAATAAAAAAACGCGATTGCACGACCGCAACATAAATCGTGGATGGAATTAATAAGAAGAAGAGTAACGTAAAGATGAGTAGTAGTAATTTGCATACCCTTCATCGACCTTCTCTGAACTGCAGCAACTCATGGTTGATCCCATAGCTTCTTGGCTATGGTGGAATCGTTCCCAAAACTCTGCTGAGTTGAACAATCTGGTGGTTGAATTTAAAAGAGATTAGAGGCGTATCTGTAGTTGTCCGAGATGAGGTCAGGGGCCGTCCTTGGCCGGCTTATCCCTCTCATATAAATCATAAGAAGTAGCTTCAACGGAGTTTACTAAGCAACATGTGTTTGAATAAATGAAATGAAATTGCTTTTATTTTTGGTGTAAACTATGACTCATTTATTTTTATTTTAGTCATCAAACTATAATTTTTTTTATTTAATCACTAAAATTATAGACACCGTTTAGTTTAATTAACAGAGACGATGACGTATTATTTTAAAATTGGTATAATACTATATTTAACTTTCAATATTTCTTTTTAGATAAATGTGTATATTTATAACCAAAACACAATTCAGTTGTAACTAACAGGGTTAGTTTAAGTGATAAGTACAGTTTGATATCGCTTAAGTAAGTCTTGAGTTCGAGTGCTTATGTAATGCAGAAAATTCCTATTAAGAGACTCACCCACTACAGTTAGGTGTACGACTCGAAATTAATAAATGTGAAGCCTTAAAAAACCAGAAGGACAACAAAGAAAACAATACAGTTGTACAACATAAACTCACATTATTAAAGACTACTAAATTTAGATATCCAAATATTCGGATATCCGATTATTTCGAATCGAATTCGGATCACTTAACTATCCAAAATTTCGGATTGGATCGGATTCGATATCCGAAACTATACACCCCTACCGATAGTACATTCATGGATATAATAAACATATATGAGAAAGGGGTCCCCTATCTCACCACTTAACACCCTCGAAGAATCCCATAAGATCTCCATTGCAAGATATAGACAATTTAGGAGAAGTGATACACTCCTCAGTCCAACCTAACACCACATCAAATGTTCTCAAATGTCAAGATACAACTTAACGACATTCGTAAATCCACTTTGATAGTACATCTAGGTGAAATAGAAGTCTATTGTATTCCTTCATCATCTCTCTAACCGTAGGGGTATTATTAATGATGTTTCTCCTAGAAACAAACACACACTTTAATTCAAAGGAATTGAATCATGGAAGAAGAATTGATCATTTAACAATGATACGGATGATGCATTTATAAATAATATCCATTCAAAGATCATTTCTACATCTTTTCTATTGTTATTAATTAGTAATTGAGGAAAATATATATTATGAGTATGACCGGTTTAATGAAATCGGCATATTTATATAATCAATATGATACGTTTAATGCATGAATTTTATTTTTATCTAAAGTTTCAATGCAATTATTAAATTATGTAATAGTTTTATTTACTTTTACCTCGAAAAAGACAATATTTGTAGCGATGGTTGTTGGCATAGAAGCAAATCGTCGCTATCCTGTGGGCAGTTGGGACAATAGTTGTTGGACTTTGCAATATGAATGCACTTCTTTTCAACATTTAAGATCATTATTTTTCCGTAGAAAAATACAAGGTAAATTGCACTTATAATTAATTTAATTATGAATAAATTAATTATGAATAAATTTGAACACATCAAGTGTTTTCGATGATAAAGATAAATATTGTTTTCTTTAAAGATATTGAGTTCCAACAGTTGCATTTGCAAGATATGTATATTATCAATAGGTTAAAAAATTATAAACAAATATTACCTTATAATCATCTCAAACTATTCAAACACTAAAGCAAAATAGGTTTTCTAACTACATAGCAGCGTTTTTAAGCATTGCTAAAAAAAATTCGGCACCAATAAAAGCGCCGCTAAAACCAGGGCAGCAACGATTAGCGGCGTTTGTAAATAGAAAAAGCCCCCAAAGATCAAGTTCTATAGCGACATTTTTCTTATAAATGCCGCAAAAGATCAAGATCTATAGTGGCATTTTTCTTTCAAATGCCGCTAATTATCTTGTCTTTAGTGACGTTTATTTCGTCTTTAGTGATGTTCATTTCGTCAACCGACTCTATATGTTATGATATTTAGCAACATTTTTCTTTACAAACATCACAATTGTTTAAGCCATTAGTGGCGTTTCCAACACAAAACGATGCAAAAAAAATGACTTATGGTGGTTTATTTACAAATGTCGCTATGGTTAATTGATTTCGCAAATATCATTTTCTACTTTATATTACCTAAATTTATTATCTTATAGCATTATATAATAAATAAACTTAAAATTTAATTACGACACAAATCATGTAGAAAAAAACCAAAATTTATAAAATTAAAATGAAATGTAACATGGTTCAACATTGTTCAATAGAATTTATTAGTCTAGGTTCTTTCTCTTTCAATTAAAAAAAATTGTTAACCAGAATGAAAAAAATTCATCTAGTGGTAATTTTGAGCATTGATCTGCAACTTCATTTGATTCTTTTCATTATGAACGTACCTTCAATTCAAACAACAATGAAAACAATGGATTCAATGGAAACATTACTAGAAAACCATATTTTATTCAACATCGAGTGCTATCGTATGTGTGTGTGTCCAAGTTGCATCGATAAAAAGAAAGGATACATCCAGAATAGCACAAATGACTGCAATCATTTAAAGAACGTTGTTAGTTGATGGAAATTTAGAACACGGAATACGTAGGGTAACTCGAAACACAAAGAAGCTTTTGAGGACTTGCCAAAACATATGAATATTGCAGAGCTATCAGTAAATGTCGCTAATGTTTTAATTTTGTGACGTTTTTCCTGTAAACGCCGCGTTATGTAAAAAATTAGTGGCCTTTAATATAAAATCATTGCTAAAAACCTGTTTTTTTGAAAAAATAATTATGAATATTATCTTAATTATGAATAATTATTTAATTATTTGAATAATGTCAATAAAAATATATACTATTTGATGAAAAAAGCTGATGTAAGAGTTAGTAAAATTAATACAATTACAAATTTGATTTTTATCACTTACTTACGCATTCTAATTAGTGATACATGTTATCATATGATTATATAATTAAATTTATTAAATTAAATAAAAATCATGATTAAATTAATAAAATATATAACTAATAAAAATTAAATACATAATTTTATTAACTGTCATTTTAAATTTTCAATCAAATATATATTATATTATTTAAATGATTAAATATTATTAATAATATTAAAAAAGTTTAAATTAAAATGGGTTAACTATATCATTAACCAGTTAATTATTTAATTATTTTACTTTAATCATCAATCTTTTAATTTTATCAATCAGATCTCTTAACTATTTAATTGTTTTCAATCAAATCATTTATCATTAACATTTAATAGATTAGATTACGTGATAATTAAATATTTTAATATAGTTATATATTTGATATCATCTATATTTAATCCTCAAATTAAATGATGTTGCGTGTAAACGGTAACACAGGAAAGGGCAGCTTCACATTTACATTGTCCATAAAAGCAAGATTGATTTTGTAATTGCAAGACATTGATTGCTCACCAACAGTGGAATCTTTTTATATGTTGGAAATTGAAGCTGCTGTAGTAAAACAAACTGCGAGGCTGTTCTGCTTCACCACGCCGCATCAGGAATAGGGATGATAGTTTCCTATAATTTGTAACTTAATTTGATGTAATTAAATTGTTAACAAAATTTTAGATTTGGATGAATTTTATTTTCAAGAAAAATATCATAATCAAATTCAACATTAAAATACAAAAATTCGACCACGTCCCTGGTCAGGAGCTTGCCTTTGCGGTCTGAGGCTGAGAGTGAGACCCAATTTGGCAAACCCTTCCCTCTCCAATAATTTACATGCAGTTTTCTGGGTTTTGCAGACACGCCTATGGCACTAGAAGAGATGGAACTAAAGAAAAAGGAGAGCAAAACCCCACCTCCAAAAAAGTAAAACCTGGAGCTCTCTTTAATATAGAAAAAAGGTGGAGAAAATGAAGAAGATTCAATGGTTCTCAGCCTTCTCAGCAGCACAGCAACAGCTCTTTTCACCGGAAAAAGAAGACCGGCCGGTTGAAGAAATGGGGGTGGCCAAGAACGTCGGCTTCACTTGTCCCGCCATTATCACAAGAAACTTCTGTTCCACAACAGCAGCAGCTCCTCCTTTTTCGGTACTCTCAACTCCTTTACCTTGTCCTTCTTCCAGGTCTCTATTATCCCCTTCGTTCCCAAGGTACCCCGACAGTTTCCAACAAGAACAAGCGAGGAGGAGAAGCGCAAACGCTATGAGACCGAGCATGGCGGCCAAGCCTCCGAACAAGTAGGGCACGGGCGAATGCCATGTCGAGTGTGGAGCTGCTGAAGGTGGTGGCGACGCTGCTGTCACCTTGAATTCATCGCTTGATGCCATTTTTTTTTGTTAGCAAAACTTGTACAAAGTGAAAAACTAAACTGCTTGGGGATGGGTTGCAGTTTGCAAAGGTATTTATACAAGGATCAAAATGGAGGATTGGTTTAGTTTTTGAGGTAATTTATGGCGTCATTTATTTATTTTTTCTTTTGTAGTAATACGGAAGTGGGGTTGTTCAAATCTCTAAAGAAAACAGTAGTATCATCGGCAAGGATATATGAAAGATTTTATATTAGATGTGCTGGACGAATGAACTTAAATCTGGAAAGATAATTTTAATTTATAAAATTATAAAACATAATTTTAATAAATTTATAATAATTCTAATTTTTCAAAGGACGTGGACCGTCCTCTCTCGATACATTCCTAACTACGAGCAAACGCATTCGGCCAGTAGAAAATGGGAACAAGTTTGGTTTGTTAAACAGTAGATAAAAACCAATGATTGTTTATCTAATAAAAGTAATGATTGTTTATCTAATAAAAGTATTCTTTGGGCTGAGGAACAGCTAAACTACACCTCAAGTTTTCTATATATATTATAATGTCAAAAAGAATCCTAATATTTATTAAAATGATCATTTTAATTCTTATTTTTTGGAATATTTTAGCACTTTACGTTTAATTTTAGGGAAAAAATGTCCCTCTATATATGAAAATCAGTAGTTAACACATGATTAAAGGTTCAAAATATGAGTCTTTTTTAACCTAAAACAAAACGTTGAAGGTTAAAATGCCCAAGGAAAAAAGAATAAATGACAAAGTGGTTATTTTGTTAGATGTTAGGGGCCTTTTTATCCTAAAATGAAATGTTGGAGGCTAAACTGCTTCAAAAAATAATAGGGGGCAACACAATCATTTTGGAAAACATTGGGGGGGCTAATTTTGATATTATGCCTATATATATATATTACATAATTAGATAATATTTTATTTCATAATGTCAAAAAAAATATCTCTTAGGTCTAATTAAATAATTATTTTAATTTATTATTTTGAAGTATTTTGACATTCAATGTTTCATTTTAAACTAAAAAGTCTCTTTATGGATAGAAATCATTTTTAGTTAATGATTAACGCTTCAATATAATGTTGTTTATCTTAAAATGAAACGTTGATGGATAAAATATTAAAAAAAAAATAATGGTCAAAATAACTATTTAATCAAATATTAATGACTTTTTTATCCTAATATAAAATATTAAGAGGTCAAAATACTTCAAATGTTTTAAAAATGCCGAAGTGATGATCTTAATAAACATTGGGACTGATTTTAATATTATGCCAATTAATGATTAACACTTCAAAATAAGGTCTTTTTATCTTAAAGTAAAATATTGAGGGATAAAATACTCAAAAAATAATAATAAGGGTCAAAGTAATTATTTAATCAAATGTTAAGGACTTTTTTTGTCAGAAAATAAAACATTAAGAGGCTAAAATATTTCAAAAAATTTTAAAAGGCCGAAGTGATGATCTTAACAAATTTTGGGGACTGATTTTAATATTGTGCCATCTTTTTTTTTGTATATTAAATTTATTATTCGTATTGGATTCATAATAATTTCGACTTATGCTTCAGCATATTTTATTCTGGTTTATCTAAGTTCATTTATGGATAATGAGTTAGAATATCTAAATTTAAGATATTTAATTCCAATTTTATTTTAACTTTTTTTTTTGTAAAAAAGATAATTTAATTTTTTAGATATTTAATGAATTCAAAATATTATTTAATTAAATCCATTAAATGATTTAATAGTGAAAAAGTTATTTTTCCTACAGATTTAAATTCAAACAATTATGTTTACAATGTGTGTGCGTGTTATTAAAAACTAATAAAGTTTTTAATAAATATTATCTTATAATTATCTCCAGACTATTAAAATATTTTAGTTAATTATCAACCGTGCACATACACCTTACAGACGCAACAGTTTAAATTCGAAACTTTTAGAAAATTAACACTTTCAATTATTATTAAAAATCACATAATGGATTATAAAATACAAAATTAAACATATTTAAAAATAACAATGACGTATTAGAGGAATGGAATCATATAAACCATTATTTATAAACTTGAATTATATATATTTGTTCTCTTAATCTTAAAATCTTTATCTTGAAATGTATAATTACTTTATAGAAGTGGGATTGCCACACCACCTTAATTAAGTGGTTTATTATGGGTTCCCACAAAGCCATGATTGCTATGATATTAATCTTAATTAATACGGCAGTAGATAAGCTTTAACTTTAGTGGAATAATGAATAAGAGATTCAATCATTGGACCATGCAGTTGTTATTAAACAAATTGCATCACTATGTATGTATGTGTGTATATATATATAATTGGATATTAATGTTGGAATCCGTAGTCACAAAAACAAAGAGGATATAAAGCACATGTTCCCTATATATGGATGGAAATATGATGAGAATATCATTTATTGATTTGGGGAGGAGGGACTCTCTCTAGGGACATACATAAAATTTTATCACTTAGATCATTTTATAGATTCTATTTAAAATCTTTCATATTCATCAACAACTCATACACACCCTGCAGACGCAGGCGTATATGCTCGAATCCATGATCTCTAAAAGGAACAACGTTTACTTCAACCAGTGAGACCACTTAATGAGTTCTAATCTAATTGTTAAACTATCAAATTTAAATATAAACATTTAAAGAACCCATTGCATGGTCTCAAGGGTAAAAGAGATTATTGTTTTCTTTAAAAAAAATCTAGATTCTAACAGTTGTGTCTACAAAACGTACGGCTTTTTATAAGATACTTTTATGTATTCGAGTTGTAACTGCCATCAAATATCTGCCTTTGTCGGTAGAGGTTAGGGCTAAGGTCATTCAATGGGCTATTGTAACTCTTAATATTCTTGAAAGTTTGTAGACTTGAATATGATCAAAATGAAAATATAATTTATCTTTCTAAAATGGAAGCCCTTGAAACATCTCAATCATTTCTTAAAGCACACAATTATTGAAGCAGCCATTTGCCGTGAAGGAAGTGAAAACATTCATCGCTTCGAAATTCCTTTAAATAAACACGGAATAAACGATTTCAATAGTTAAAGGAACGATTATTATTTTTAGAGATTTTAGATTCGAATACGATATCTGTCAAATGATTGAAAATGTTTTTAAACAGATATTACCTTGTAATCGAAAAAATTCTTTAAATAATACATAAATCCACTTCATCATTGATGAAGACTTGAATCAAATAACGGACATTTCTAAACGTCCAACTCTCTTCACTTGTATTTATCTATTTGGAGCTTCACTCTAATTTAGAATATTTGTTCTTACTCTTTTGTACACAACTCAAACTCTTATGCTTGTAAAATATGATTTTGTTATTAATTAGTGAATCTTGATTCATGATTGTGTTTGATTTGTTTTTTCACACAGAACAATACTTTTAAGATTATTTATTCAAATAATTTTTTTTTGATTATTTATCAAAATAATATATTTCACTATATAAGATAAAAGTATGTTGCACGAGCCAACTTACCTCAGTGGTTAAAGGAATCGTTGTTGTTCCTAGAGGTTATGGGTTTGAGCATCAATAACTGCAGCAGTGTAATTGAGTGTTCATTGTCATAACACCGTTAGTGAGGAAACAATTGAGTGAAGAAAAAGTTAGGGGTTAACTACATGTTTGGTAATTGAAAATATTTGAAAAAATTGAAAGAATAATGAGTGAAATAGGAGAGAGAGTAAAGTTTAGTTACCAACCATGTAATTTACCCAAAATATTAATGTACCAGTAAGGAAATTGAAACTATTTAAAGTATAGTAAGTAGATTATGAGAGAGAGTAAAGTTCAATGATAAAATTTATATTTTACCTATTAAAATATTATTGGTCGACATAAAAGACACTTTAATTAATTACATCTTTCAAGAGTTTTAAAAAGGTAAACTACGTCAATAGTCATTAATATTTGGGTTAGTATTAGTTTTTATCATTGATGTTTGAAAAGTTACAAATCGGTCACTAACATTATCTTTTGTTACAAAATGGTCACTCGACGTTAACAACCATTAACAATCGTTACTGCAATAAGGAATACTAATGTGGCACGTTAAACCAGTTGACTGAGTATGTTTGACTAACCGTTTGACTCTTCTTCCATTGCAAAGATGACGGATTTATTATCGATATGAATTAGTAATCACATGAGAGAGGAAAAGAAACTGTAAGACTTACATTTTCGCACTGGATACATATGCTAGTATGAATTTGCAATGTCCGCGTCCCCTGTTCTCTAGGAGATGTTCTACAATATCAAACATTAAAGGAACACTCGACTGCTGGAAGCCTGGATAACGTCAAGGACAAGTTGTCAAGAGCAACTATTAGAAAAGAATTGTTGAATCAAACAGCATCTAAACTTGAGTTCACTTTTACGCCGTAAAACAGAACACACATCTGCTAAGACAGACAACATATAATACAAATTGACTGCAAATCTATTTATAGCAAGAGACAGGTTGAATGGAACGATAATGTTAAATTTGTGTTCAATTCACGGGTAATTATGATAATCAAAATTTCATCATTAAGAAGCTCAATCTTAGGCATTGTAATTTATAAATTGATTGAGAAAAGAAATAATTAAACATAATCAGGATATAGATATATGTGTAAAATCCTATTAATTTGATCTGAGTTTCCCCACTCTAGCTTCTCAGCTTCTAGAGCTGCATGAAAGATGTGAAAAGAGGACATTAACTAACCCACAAGGCGAGATTCGTGGGGTTATAATGGATTGTATCGGAAGCAAGTTGACAGAAATCTGCGCGGGAATTAATCATTACGGTTTCGAGTCTAACAATTTAAAAGTAGTAAAAGAAGAAGAGTCAAACGGTCGGTCAAACATGCTGAACTAACTGGTTTAACGTGTCACGTCAATATTCCGTTATTGCACTAACGGCGGTTAACGTCGAGTGATCATTTTGTAACAAACGATAACGTTAATGACCGATTTGTTACTTTTCAAACATCAATGGTGAAAACAAAC